TATCTGTTGGCAGCATGTCTCAGTTAAACACGCCTCTCGAGGTGCTCAATGGATAATTCTTGCATTCCGATGTAACAGGTAAACCATTGTAATACTTCTCCATAACTAACGCGTCGCGGTCAACGATGAAGCGATTGCTCATTACGAAGTTATCGTTTCTCAAGTCCAGTTGCAGTCCTTGCTTTCCTGAAGCTATCCAACGTGTTCCGTTTATTTTCGATGCAAACGGAGTAGGATTTCTGTGAACATAATATAGTGCTAGTTTCAAGCAACCATAACAGAATTCAAGATGTGAGGTGATGTTAAATGGGCGTTAACTAGTAACCAATTAAAATTTTATTATTGCACAAATTTTCTTCGTCGTGTCACTGATTTCGAAGAATATTCCTGTTGCGCAATAAAAAAATAAACAATAATACTTTAATTTAAATTTCATTCCTTATTCTATATCCGTAAAAATATAAATTTGCACGAACATCTGCAGTCTGACCATTGCACTACCTACAGATTAGCAATTCATAGAAATCATTAAAAAATTTTACGTTTACCTACCCGTATTTTATGAAGTTCACCCACATTGTAGTGACTTTCTTGGCGTAAACATTAACTGGATGGTTTGGATCTTTGGGATACCCGGCAAGGTAGAACGTCATAGGAATATCGTCAGCGTGAGACGTACCTAAAACAATAGATCGTGATAAGGTAACGATTGTCTGTCATACACGTGCTATTTGATAATTTCAAAGATATTAATTTCGACGAAAAAATAGTTTAAGGCTAAGTATAGAAGACAGTTACCGCCAATGTTAGGATTAACTTGTCTGTGAAAGTTGTACTGTGTATCGTAGGACAGACGATAGAAGTAAACAGGCAAATGGCCAGGGTTCTTAGTCAAAAGCCTCTGCATGAGATCCACTGGACCAGAAAAGTCGTATAATGATGCAGCCTAAGAACATTAAATCGTTAGTATCGGTGAAAGTGAATAAATTAAAATTAAAATGTCAGTCGAAATACCTTTATTATTTCCCACAAACTATCATTCATAACAGAGTTCATCGTATTTATGTAAAGCTGGTTGTGACCTGTCAGATCTACAACCCCAGAACTATTCAGCAACTTGTTTTGAATTCTCTGTCGTTCAACATCCAATTCTATAATAGACAAAAACATAATTAGTCTCTATCAGATAGAAAAGAATTGACATTGATTCAATTATTACAAAGAATAAAGTCTTTGAGGAACGCGATTTGACACAAAAAATGTATTCGAGCTTCACGAAATATGTATTCAAATTACATTATTTCGAAATAAGTACGAAACAAAAAATGAAAAATATTTGTAATATAAAATGTCCTATTTACTCGTAACAAGCTTTAAAAAAAAGGTAGTTACCATTTTAAGAGATAAACATGTATTGCATCACGTACAATACTCTAATTTCAATCACAACAGTGTCGACAAGTTACTGTTACATGTAGGATACTATTAGTTTCTATTTACATTCATGTAATATCTAGCTTTAGTTCGTATCATTTCGTACTAAATGAACGACTTTAAGTAAAATACTAAACTGCATGACTTCGAGTAATATCAACTTCTTCAGGTGCGTTAAAAATTATTCAACAATGTACAACCAACTTAAGAGAGAGATGGGACAGTTTCTACCTTTTCTAACATTTATTATTTATCATTACCTAGCGTGAACAAAATTGCCTCTTCTGCAGTGTAGCCTAGCATAGTAGGCACTTGATTGAAGTTTCCAGACTCGAAGTATGATAAAGGACAATCTTCTACGAATGC